TGGTAGACCTGACCAGAAAGAATGTTCCGTTCCTGTGGAGCCCTGCCTGTCAAGAAGCGTTCGACCGATTGAAGCGAGCGTTTACCGAAGCACCTGTCCTGGCTTCCTTCGATTGGGAAAAGGAAGTGATCGTAGAAACCGATGCCTCCGATTACGTATCCGCCGGAGTACTCTCCCAATACAACGATGATGGAATACTTAGACCTGTTGCATTCTTCTCTAAAAAACACTCGGCAGCTGAATGCAACTACGAGATTTACGACAAAGAACTGCTAGCTATTATCCGTTGCTTCGAAGAATGGCGTCCCGAGTTGGAAGGCGCCGCATCACCAATTCAAGTGATCACCGATCATAGGAATCTGGAATACTTTACCACAACGAAGCTATTGAACCGCCGTCAAGCCCGCTGGTCCGAATTTCTGTCTCGATTTAATTTCCGAATCACCTATCGCCCCGGAAAGCTAGGTGCCAAACCCGACGCGCTGACCAGGAGGTCAGAAGATCTCCCTAAGGAGGGGGATGAACGCCTCCTGCACCAAAGCCGTACTATCCTGAAACGAGAGAACCTGGATCCCGACCTGTTTCCCGCTGCTGTTACCCTAATCGAACCCAAGATTGCCAAGAGAGTACGCTTCGCTGTAACCACCCGTAGCCAGAGAAACCCCGACCCTACCGACACCACCGACCACTTGGATTCCGACGATACCGTAACTTTACCAGAAAATGGCAAAGTTATAGAGCCTGCAATCCCACGTGCCATATCTGTACCCAACCCTGCGATACGACTAGAGGACCCAGAAAACCCTCTAAACCTTCCTGCCGACCTGCTTACCCTGTTCCACGAAGGCTACCAAGCCGACCCTGTACCCGAATCTGTCCTGAAATCCCTACGAGAGGGATCCCCGAAACACCCGAAAATCACTCTTGCCGAGTGTACCGAAAACAACAACCTGCTGTACTACCGAGGGAAACTATACGTTCCCGACCACGACCCCCTGAAAACCTACCTGCTCCGCCTGTACCACGAATCGCCCGCCGCTGGTCACCCGCACCGTACCCGAACCTTCGAATTACTGTCCCGAAACTACTACTGGCCTGGATACTACGATTATGTTACGCAGTGGGTCCGTAACTGCCATAGTTGCCACCGCGCTGCCCCGAATCGCAGAGGCCAGGAGGGAGTTCTCCGCCCGCTCCCGATCCCGCAGAGAGCTTGGCAAGATATCTCAATAGATTTCATTACGCACCTGCCCGAAAGTACCGGTTTCGATGCTATTATGGTAGTAGTCGACCGATTGACGAAAATGAAACATTTCTTGCCCTGCTATGGTACCTGCAACTCCGAAGAGGTCGCCCGCCTGTTCCGGAAGAATATCTGGAAGCTCCACGGCTTACCCCTGACCATTATATCTGATCGTGGAGCTCAATTCGTCTCTGAATTCTGGAAACATATCTGCAAGCGCTTGGGCGTAGCCGCCAAGCTTTCAACCGCTTACCATCCTGAAACTGACGGACAAACCGAGAGGGCTAATGCGATGCTGGAACAATACCTCCGGTCGTATGTAGCCTACCTGCAAGACGACTGGGCAGAGTGGCTCCCACTCGCCGAATTCTCTATCAACAATGCCTGGTCCGAAAGCACCCGAATGACCCCGTTCTTCTCGAACTACGGGTTCCACCCCCGCCTGGGCTTCGAGCCCGCATCGTCCCAGAGTAACCGTCCTGCCGTACGAGATGCCGAAGAATTCGTCGCTAAAATGGAAGCCATCTCCTCACACCTACAGACCGAACTAACTGCCAGTCAAGCCCGATACTCGAAGAATGCCGATGCCCGCCGTTCCCCTGCCCGTAGATACCTGCCCGGTGACCTGGTCTGGCTGAATGCCAGAAACATCAAGACCCTGCGCCCACAGAAGAAGCTCGATTGGAAGAACCTCGGGCCCTTCAAAATCCTGAACCCGATAGGCCCCTATGCCTATAAACTGGAGCTCCCGGCCTCGATGAAGATTCATCCTGTTTTCCACGTCAACCTGCTATATCCTGCACACGATGATCCTGTTCCTGGGCAGCGTAATCCGCCACCACCCCCTGTAGAAGTAGACGGCCTCGAGCGTTTTGAGGTTGCCGAAATCCTGAACTCCCGCTGGGAAAGAAGAGGTCGTGGAGGACCTCGCCTGAAATACACTGTCCGTTGGGTCGGCTACGATACGCCGACCGAAGAACCTGCGAGCTACCTGGAAGACGCACAAGAACTGATCCGCAACTTCCACCGTAGATACCCTGACAAACCCGGTCCCGCTTGACCGGGCCCCGCCTGCCTGTAGATTGTAAACCGTGACGTGCCGCCTCGACGGAGCTCGACTCTTAGGAGGGGGGTAATGTCACGGTGTGAGCTCACGTGATATGCTGGTCCTATCGGAGAGGACCGAAAGGAGCGCTCGCACCGGAGCGCAAGCGAGCTAGGGCCCGATCGGGCTAGCTCGCTGTAAGAATTCCGTATATCTTCAACTCAGAAGATCCTGTATTGTAGCTCTTTGAGCTACGTCTTAATCCTCAATCTGAACCTATTACCCGAATCAGTATAGCCTTGCCAGATTAGGGCAAAGTTATTAGAACCCTATCCAGCCCGCCTGCCCCGTGATATAAGGTTAGAATATTATCAAATATCTCGCTTTTTAGAATTAGTCTCTGGAATTCAACAAAGTAGATATTGAAATCAAAATGTTTTTGTTTAAACAAATATAATTGGTTTTGGGTATTCTATTTGCAATCAGAATCCCCAAAAGCGTTCTCTAAATATTTCAAAAATAGATTATAATTAATGAATTACAGAATACTATAAATAATCTTAAAAAGAATTAATTTATAAATTCTTTTAATAAGTCTTCCAGCAATATAAGTCAAACAAATAGAGATAATAAGGAAACGATTAGAGTTCGAGTTTATCTTTATATATATTTGTTAAACAAATCTTTATAGATCGAATCGGGAATCATCAAATTCTTTGAGATCAGGAATATATTTATTCAGACAAACAATAGCGAATAGGACAAGTATAATAATATTAAATGATTCAAGGGCAGATTTAGCAGATATTATTTTAGAGAGTATAACAGGAATAGATATAAATTCGGCAAAACGATTAAGTAAGCGGATATTCTGTATAGCAATCTGTTTATACAGAAAAGCCTTAATATATCTCTCAATAAATACTTTTCGAATTTTGTATTTGAAAGATAGATTAGCTTCTTCCAATCCAATAGCATATACAGCTGTCAACTGGAAGTACTGGTATCAAGCTTGAGGATCCTTTACTACAGTTATACTGAGCTCAGAGGTATCCTCCAAATGACTAAGCAGATGCAGAGTTAGTATTGCTATTGCAATGATATTGGTAGGAGCTATATAATGTTATAGAACAGGTAGATAAGATCAGGAATCTATATTCGATAATATTAAGAATAGTAGGTACAGGGTATAGACTAAGATATAGCTCGAAGAACTATGATATAGAATCTTCCAACATGAAGATATACAGAATTTTCACTTATAAGCTAGCCTAACAGGGCCTAGCTTATCGCTTATCGGTCACGTGTATCCACACCGTGACACTTAGTATCACCCCATAACATCATCCCCCTCCTTAAGGTATAGTCTCCATACCATCACCTATTAGAAGGTTTCAGGATTCTGGATTCTAATGCCTCAAGCATTCAGACAGACAGATAGGATCTATATATGCTAGTTTCCAAATCAATGAAGACTTGTAAACTATAAGTGAGCCCCTCACACAGCTCTATTTATAATTAAGGGTAGTTCTACCTAATGTCACGGGATTATCTTTGGGAATATTCAGAAACTTTATCGCTAAGCTAAATGCCCAAAAGACTAAGAAATAGAACTGGAAGTTCTACCTTACTCTCACATATATAGCAGAACAGAACAGAACAGAAAGGGCTTAGTGTCACCCCGTGACATACAATCCAACTAAAGCTTTTTCTTAATTAATATTAATTAAATCTCGAATAACTTATTATTAATCAAACTTTTCTATATTTATATTTGAGATTATACTAATTTTAGCTAAAGATATAGAGAGATTAGCTTATGAAAATATACTTTTAAATATAGAGATTTATATACTTTGGATAGTAAATGAGATATTAAATAAATATCGATATACGAAAAAAACTCAATTATATTAAGGAGAAGTGCTTATTGAATAAAAGGCTTTTAATATATTATTTTAGTAAAAGATTGATATTCAGATTTAATATGATGAGTATCAAAAAGAGGGGAATTCTAATGAGGAAGTATTTTCTAATTGATATTGTAGTAAATGTGGAAAGACAGGATATAATACAAGAACCTATCAAAATAATATAATAGATCCTAGATTATTAGATTCTTAATAGTTTTCAATCAATTGATTCAATTGTTATTGAATAATATAAGTTTGAAAGTATAAATTGAGGTGAAAGTGGGCCACTCGGTGATATGGGCCACTCGGTGTTAAACTACGTTATTCAATATTGTAGAGGGCAAAGCTCCAAGGAAGAAAAACCTATCATCTAAATGACAAGCAACATTCAAAAAGTAATTGCGGACTCGTGTATCAATTTCATCAAAATGCTACTTTGAATCACGTATATTTACTAGGTATTTTATACAATTTTTTCATGATCTTTATGAGATACTCGACATATAATGCGGGGTTTCTCTGTTACGTAATACATTACCCCATGAATTAGCGTGATTGACCCTTCATGAAAAAAATGTATGTTCTCCTTCTCTCCTTCTCTTCTTTTCCTCCCCAGATCACTCATACAACTTTAGTCTATGATCAAATGATACATATTTGTATATGTCGATATTGTTTTCTTCGCTTCTGTTGTTCTTCTCACCCGGTGCTTGCACCACATCGTTTTGTGTTTGCGAAACGAAAAATAACTATTCATTTTAAGAGCTCTTTATTGAGTTTCTTAAATCTTAAAGAAACAATGTCTTCGAGAAGGAGTTTCGAGATTTTCAATGCATCTAACATAAATAAGAATGCTGACCAGTTTGAAAGAGATATCGCACCTGTGCTTGCTCATGATGCGATTAGAGCCGAGTCAAGTGTCGATTTACGAAATGCATTAAATGCCACTCTGAAATTGGAGGATATCAATAAAAGATTACCGGATGTTTTAACGGAAGAAGATGCTGAACTTGTACAGGAATTCTAAAAGGAAGAGAAATTGTTGAAAGATTTCGTGGACATTGAAGCTGGATTCGAGAAACAATTCAAGAAGCTGGAGATAACTTTGGACAAGACGGACCCTGATTCATTGAAATTACAAGAAAGCATGAGAAATCTCGTTTCACAAGTAACCCCAAAGTTGGAGATGCAAATGGAATTATTACTCTCTACAAGTCAAGGGAAAATTGTTGATTTGACTAGTAAGAATGAAACCTACAAAGTTGAGCTAGATCAGATGAATGCTCAATTAATTGCACTTCGAACTGGAACAAATTTGACTGATGCTATGAAAGATTTATCGGATAGTCATTATAAAGCCAAAGAAAAGCTCACTGAAGGTAAGGTTGATCTTAAAACTACTTCCGATTTGTACAAAAAAATCGGGGCTTTAGAAAGTCGAAAGGATAATTTAAAAAGGGATTTATCTATCACTAATACAAATCTCCTAAGTATGACCAAGGAAAGGGACAATTTGAGAACTACCAAGGCTAATCATGAACAAATTGAACGAGAATCAAAAAGGTTAGCTGAACAGTGCCAAAAAAATTATCAAAGAGTAAGTGGTGAAAATCAAACTTTACAAAAGAAGTCGACGACAAATCAAAGAGAATTAGGGATTTAGAAGAAGCCATTCAAGCATCTAAATTGAACCTAGAGCGAGAGAAGGCCGTCACATCTGGTCTTGCTGCACGTTTATCAGAAGAAGAGAATAAGTCAAAGGGACTACAAAAGGATATTGATGATTTAAGAAATCGACCAGTTCTAGCCGCTGATATGCATGCAGGAAGGTCTAATTTTCTTGAAAAAATCGAACTTGAGGGAGCAAAGACAACTTTACAGGGTAAGAATGAACTTCTTACTATGAACTTGAACAATTTATCCAAGGAGATGGTTAATGAGAAGGCAAAGTCGGCTCAGATTCCGGGACTGGAAACCAGGATACGAACCCTTCAAGAAGATATGGAGAAATTATCAACATCTCATCGTGAAAGGAGATGAGTTGGAATGCTGATCGAGACGATCTAGATGAAAGATACCAAGAATCCATGAAGTCCGTTGAAGAGGCAAAAGCTAATTTGGTTCAGAAAGAAGAGAAACTCGAGGAAGTCAATAAAATTTTGGACATGCAAAATGTTAGACAAAATGAAGACGCTACTAAACTCGAACAGCAGATTGCATTGATCAAAGAGAAAGATGCTAGAATTGATACACTTCTGATTCGAGTTCAAAATTCAGACTCTTTACAAGGTATATCCGAAGAATATGCTCAGTGTCGCGCGAAATGGGACGAGGAGAAGATTCAAATGAATAAGTCAAAAATTAGGTTGGAAGGAGAACTTCGAGTTACAATGAAACATTTAGGTGACTTTCGAACTGCAGATTACAAAAGTCGAAGAGTATATAGAGCTCTCGAACAAACATTCGAAACTTTCAAAACCAATGCTGAGAATGATAGGAAAGCGGAAAATGTTAAAAGAATGAAAGAATTCGAAACGGAAAGAAGAAAAGGAAATCAAATCCAAATGAAGCTTGATGGCGCAGTTGCGGACCTTGAGAATACTCGCAAGGCTTATCAAATTGCTCAAAAGAGAATTGAGAATTTAGAAGCAACTCAAGACAAAGTTATTGGTGATTGTTTCAACAAATCAGAAGGAGCTGGTTTTCTAAAAGGTCAAGTAGATTTACTCCAAAATCAAGTGAACTCACTTCAAGGGCAAGTCAAAGATATGAACTCACTTCAGGATCGAATCAAGGAATTGGTCGAAGAAAATAGTTACCTCGATATCTTGATTGCTCAAGAGGAAATTTCAAAGAAGACTCGAGAAGCACGAAACAATGAACGTCTTAGTAGATTGGAAGAAACCTTAAGAGCACACCAACGTCAAATAGCATCACTTAGATCAGAAGTGGAAACTAAAACGCAGGAAATCAAGCATCGAGACGAAGAAATTTCCCGGTATTGTGAATCAATCATTGATTACACGAATAAGATTGGAGAATTGCGGAAACGCGTCAATGAAGTTAGTAATGAGAGAAGTGAACTGGCTTGCAAGGAAGTCAGGTTTCATTGTGAAGTGACTGCGGCCACCAAAGCAAAAGATCAATTCGAGTCGAAATACAAATCATCTCAGAAATTGAATGAGGACTTGCAAAACGAGTTGAATAGCCTGAAGACTGCACACAGTTTGTGTAATGATTCCTCATTCCAAAGACAGAATAGTGAACTTCGGAGGAAGAATGAAGAAATGGAGAAGCTCAACTATCATGGTCTGAAGACGGAGATCACTAATTTGAAGTCAAAGTTGACTACAATGGTACCAAGATCCGACTTGGATACATTACAAGCCCAATTTGATACACTTAAAACCGAAGCAAATAAGGATAGAACATCTCTTGCAAGTGTAGTCACACAAGAAGATCATGAAGCAATTTTGCAAAGGGTCAGAACTGTCTATGAGAATGCGTCCAAAGATTTGGTACCTAAAGTCGATCTTGAAAGCACGCAGAAAAGATTCAATGCAGTGTCAGCGGAGTTAGATGCCTTGAAGTTAAAATTTAATTCTTTCAATGACACAACACCATAATCTCGATCTTTTCAATCCCGAGTACCCATGGGGTCTACATCGACAGATAGGACAATCAATAGCGATCGGGCTCAATCCCAACCGCAAGTTAATTCCAAAAACGGTTTTCAGGCTGGTACTTCTATACCTGTTACGCCATCATCCACACGCCACCATACTGGGATGGATTTATCACACTCGAGAGCTAGTTCTACATTCACTGGATTCAATTCTGGTGTCCCTCTCCCTGGTCCAAACTCCACTTCTGAAACTCTTGGTCATGGTGTTAACTTGGGCATAGAAAATGGTCAACAGCTGTCAATTCCACCGCAAAATATGGACATCCCGTTGACAATTATTGAACAATCTCCACAACCGGCGAGACTTGGACAACCCTCGAGAATTCCTAGGTCCCCACAGGATATGAACATGCGATTTGGAACCTCTCAAGGAGTTAACCGTCAACAGTTCCAGAGTCCCATGCCCCCAAATACTGGTCATTCATCTCGGGCTCAGACCCCTTCACATATTCCACTTCCAGCTTTCGGTCGACAATATGTAGATTCTATGCTACCACAACCTGGTTATTCTTCTCGAGCTCAAATGCCTTCTCTTCCTCCTCCAACTTTCAGTCAACAATTTGGAAACCCTATGACACCGGGTATCGGTCATTTATCTAGAGCTCAAACACCTTTGCAAATTCCAGCAGCTCTCGATCAACAGGCTCGTAACTATATGACATCACAACCTGGTAGTTCATCTCGGGCTCAAACTCCTTCACACATTCCCATTTCAGTACAAGCAGGCGGGATGATGACGACTTCAAGACAATCATCAATACAGCCACATAATAGATGCATGTTTTTGATTAGTGGTACAGTCAATCAAGGACCTAGAACGTTACAGGTTCTACCAGAGTTGATAGATAAGATTCAAATGGAAATTCAAGATTGGGATTCACATCCTTCAAACACGAAAAGGAGGTGGGATAGAATTTCCAAAATGAGCGCTGACAGGTGTGTTATTGTCAGGAAAAAAGCAATTGTCTCTTTCTGTTGCTCCATCATCAGCTGAAACACCAGACAGATTCGCTTGTCCATACTGTGTAGAGAATCGAAAACTTTGCGTGTTGGTATCCCTTTCTGGGCCAGTCATTGCACCTCTACCTATTAATTCTAGGTCTGTCGATGCTAACCCTACCACAAGGGGATATTGTATCAAAGAAATATGAGGAAGCATCATTACCCCGCACAACAACTTGGAAATAAATTGAATACATGAACAGCTAGGAGTTTATGAGAATAAAATGAAAGTTTATATTATGTACATAGATCATTTCAAATCTCAATGAATCCTCTAATTATATCAATCATTGCTTTGATAATATGTTTGCCATGTTTGTCTTTTCATCATCAATGTCTAGATTGGAGGGCGCGGTCAATGTTATTGAGACTGTTAACCCTGTAAATATCTAATCCCAAAATTCAAACCACCTAGTTAGGCTTGGGATATAGGCTTTGCTACCTGCTCCGGGTGAAACGGATATCAAATCCGTTGATTAATCGAAGCTCACAAACATATATTCGCCAAAAGGGCTTTTTTCCTCAACAATAATAATTGTGACGACTCAGTACCATCCCACACATACGGTGGTTGTCTCTGGAATAATCTGAATACCATCGAGACCAACTTGGTCATCTTACATCCTCTCGAGTTTACACATTCCCATCCGCGTGTATTTAGCAATTCCGCAACATTGCAACACGGGTAATCACATGGCTAGCAGCACTTCTACCAGAGGAAACTAATGAGGTCTCCTAATTTTAATCTTCCGATTCAATTCATTTTCATATTGAGATATTGAATCGTTTCGTGTATCAACTTAGTTTGCCTACATTACTTAAACTTCCCCGAAACTAGTCCAGACGACGACTTTATCATGAAGACCAAGTTGATGCAATCTTCTCTCCTCATCCGCAATATGGACACTCGTCCAGTAACTGTTATCTTATTTCTCGGTTTCCGCTTTATTAATTGTGCGTGCTAGACACTTTGCTTGTTACCCATAGAGAAATGATCTAGAGTCTGCAATAAATTCATCGTGCCGAGAATTTTTATAGAAAGTCTGGGTACGGTGTAATCGTGGTGTCTTCGATCTCCTCTTTGTATCCCCATTATCACTTCAATACCTGCCAAGTTCATATCATAGCTCTGCATTCTTAAACTCTATCAGATCACACCATGTTAATTCTTTAAACTACTCGGTTATTACCTTCTAACCACTAACATACTATATTACTAGATCTCCCTCCTTTCCAACCCCAAATTCTCGAGATAGCCCCTAAGCCAGCCTTCGTCTTTGAGAGTGACTTTAAAGAATTATTTCCTTGAATATTCATAGTTCCTACAATTAGTACCGGATCTCTTATTGAACTAGACTTGACCTCACTCGACTTGTATGTACCAAAGTGACTATATTTGCGTCAAGTAGTATATTAAATGTGTGGGTTTAGACTTTGATCTATTGTTATTTAAGGTAAAATATTGAAGACAGCCTCGCCGGGTGTATGCTGCTTTTCATTTGGGGGGGGGGAGGGGCGGGGGGTTAAGGATATATTGAGGGCAGGTCTAGAGGTATCTTGGAAGTTGGCTTTTATAATAAGAGATATTATAAAATAGTGTAAGATCTAGTCAATTTAAGCTTAGGGACGAATCGAATATATGATATATGAGTTGAATTGAAGTCAATTTAGAAGAGCTGGGCTGAATTGAAATGAAATTGCTTGCTTTTTCCTAGGTTTTCTTTGAAGAAATCCTAGGTTTATATATTATTTATTTATTTATTTATTTATATTAATTAAACGTCTGTTTTGGACTTCCCTAAGGGTATTTAGATGTGCTAAGATAAGGAACTATTTGAGCGGCGTGATCGTTGCGACCGAATTTAGCAATTTAACTTCAATACCAAGAGCTATTCGCTCCTCTGTGGATGCGATCCGCTTCTGTTTCCAGAAGGGAATATCTGATCCGGGTTGTTGTTGAGGCAGAGCTTGGTTCCCAGGTGGATAGGCTCGTTGTGGGCTTCGATCCTTATGGTAGAGGAGAAGAAGTGAGAGTAGGTTACTATTTGTTTAGCCAAGCAGCAAGGCTTTTGTGTTATATATTGGGTTTGCGATTTTTAGAGGTGTAGTGTATTCGAGTGATCAGTTGAGTGATGAGTTTATAAGGGGTGGGCAGTAAGCTTTGTTGAAAAGATTGTTGCTTTCTAAGGGTCTTTTAGTAGTTAGGACAGATCTGAGTGTAAAACTCTGAGTTGATGATTAGCTAAGTGAGTTTGTTAGATGTGTGTAAGAGTTTCTTGATATATATGATTACCTGCTTGTTAGATTGTATTTCTATAGGGGCAAGGGGCCAGTCTGAACGCTTTAGATTGTTTATAGTGCATTTAAAGAAGTGATATGGTTCCTTAGCGCTGCCGCATGAGCAGTCCAGCTTGTTGTTTTGATGACCAAATCGAAAGATAAATCTAGGTTTATATAGTTTATAATGAAATTCCAGTAGTTTTTATGCTTATAAATAAGATCGATTTAAGACGTATCTTATAGAACCGTATTGTATCATAAAAAGAAAGTATACTAATCAATTTGATCTGTTTTATCAACAGTTTTCCATATACTTCTATACCATTCTATTCCATTGTAAATCAATTTGATAAAAGATATTGTTATATAACTATATGATAATATAATTTCATAATCTAAAATCATATTATACATATATTATTCATCAAAGTATCTCTTAATTGGTAAGATATTAATAAGTGATTTAGTATTATTATAGAGTTTCACAAGATAGATGAAGTAATGATTGTAAAGACGGGAATGAAAGGGGAGGTAGTAACTGTAAAGAGATGTTTAGTAGTAGGTGTAACAAACAACAAACACGAGGGCACTCTTTTGTATTTTTCCCCCTTCTCTGTTCAATTATCTAGATGGACAACAAATTCCACATCTTCCAAACCCGGCAATGGGAATAAGCAATATACCATGTGAAAATCTTATAACCTCCATTTTCTCATCCTCATTCCTGCCATAAATCTTTTCTCTGATCTTTCCTTTTCTATAGTATTCCTATTTTGAAATTATAAATATACCAAATCCTCTTATAAGACTGGGTGTTGGAGAATATCTATGTGGCTCAAGTACTTAAATCCAAGTTTGTGTGAGTATGCGGGTACGAATTTATGTTCTTTATAAGTTTGCTTTTTGATTTCTATTCCACCATTTCTGGAGAATGAATGAGAGGACAACAGTTGGATGCGGGATCGAGGCGAAAGGTAGAAGAACATAGTTAAACTATTAAGTGTATATGATTAGGTGACTAACATCAATTTATGTTTAACTGTAACGTAGTTTATCAGCATGTGGGCCATATCATTATATGGGCCACTGTCACGGTGTGAGCTCACGTGATATGCTAGTCCTATCGGAGAGGACCGAAAGGAGCGCTCACACCGGAGCGCAAGCGAGCTAGGGCCCGATCGGGCTAGCTCGCTGTGAAAATTCCGTATATCTTCAACTCAGAAGATCCTGTATTGTAGCTCTTGAGCTACGTCTTAATCCTCAATCTGAACCTATTACCCGAATCAGTATAACTTTGCCAGATTAGGTAAAGTTACTAGAACCCTATCCCGCCCGCCTGCCCCCGTGATACTACGTAGCTCCTACCCATTAAAATATCGCTTTCGCGATGACTGCTCCGCACCCCGCCTGGCCGGCCTGGGGACTCCTCAGAATTTGGCGCTTCTGTATCGGAGGACCCCCAGGTTTGGTACCAATACCTCCAGTCGGCATCTGCGTATTATGCCGAGCTGGAGGAGACCAACAGATCGCTCGAACGCGAAATTTCCGAATCCCTAGTCCGCGAACGTATTCAAGCCGCTCTGCACGAGCAGGTTGCTACTCAAAACGCCCGTCTACTCGATCGCCTTGCCGAATCCACGCCTACTATACCTGCTCGTTTGGAAACCGTATCTCCCGAAACTCCCGCTGACTCTGTCCCTGAACCCACTGTACCTGCTCCGACCACTCGATTGAGTGAGCGCATCCCCGATCCGAAAGAGTTTGATGGCACCCGCTCCGACCTGCGTAGATTCGTTCAACAGATACATGGAAAATTGAATGCGAATAATGATAGATTCCCGACGACTTCTGCCCGCTTGACTTACACTGCTGGAAGACTTACTGGAAAGGCATACGAGCTTATACTACCTAAGATCTCCCGTGGAATTCCTCAGTTCACCGACTATACCGCACTCCTCGAATATCTCGAAAACGCCTTTGGGGATCCTGATCGAACACAAAACGCACAGAATAAACTATATGTACTGAAGCAAAGACACCTCGATTTTAGCACCTTCTTCGCGGAATTCCAGAGACTCGCCCTAGAAGGAGAGATGCCTGATGATGCTCTAACCCCGCTCCTATTTCAAGGAATCTCTCGCGAACTACAAGACATGCTGTTGCATAACCCCGCTCCGACCCGTGAATTTCGTCAATACGCTAACCACCTACAACAACTCGATAACCGATTCCGTCAACACCAACAACAAGTCCACCGTATTCGTCCTGTCGCTTCCGAAACTTCACCCCGGAGAATAATCGCTGCTCCGCCTCTACGACTCGCTAGCCCGAAGTCTACTCCTGGAGACCCAATGGACCTGAGCTTAGGAAAAAAGGAATACACCGCTAGGAACCTGGGTTCGCGGCGGGAACGCGGCGAATGCTATCGCTGCGGCTCTGCCAGCCACCTGATACGAGACTGCCCGCACCCCGATACCCGTCCTGTTCAACTCCGAGTTACCACTACTACAACCAGCCCTACGAGAACCAGCCCTGTACCGAACAGTCCTCCGAGGGGCCGAGTCCCTATCCGTTCCCCACCTCGCTCTCCTCCCCGCTCGCCGACCAGCTCAGTCAATTCGGGAAACGGGATACGCCTGACCTAAACCGCGATCAGGACGATCCTCCGCGTACCCTCCGCTTATCTACTGCTGCTACTCATGGCCTTCCTTTGGAAGATGAACTAAACAATCGTGCGGATCTGATGATTCTACCCGTCACCCTGCTCTTGGAAAAAGACACCCTCCCGACATACGCTATGGTCGATAGCGGATGCGAAGGAATTGCCTTCGCAGATCGAAGCTGGGTGTCTTCCCAGAAAATACCAGTA